GCAGCGGTGGCGGCAACACAGCAACAGCGGCAGCGGCAGTAACAGCGGCGCTGGCGGCGGCTTCTCGCGCGATAAAAGAGGTTTTTGTAAAAAGAGGAACTTGTTATTCACACAACGATCACGTTACTACGTATATATATGTACATATGTTGTTACAATGAATCAAAAGAGAATTATAAGTTCCTCTTTGATCTGGTATGATAATTTTAACTGTTTTTCTTGTCCTCTGCTTCGTTGCTGGAAAGTCCAAGAGATTTATTTTTCCCCCCCTCTGGTTTCGTGGATGACAGATAAGTTGAATCGAATTGGCAAATTTATATGCTTGTTCCTATTGTTGTAATATAAATATAATAGCATAAGTGTATGATTTAGTTATATAATACCTATCAATATGTACAGTTTGATATATACAATTCTACAAAAACTTAAAAATATTTACAATTTCTCATTACAGAAGAAATGTGATATATATCTTATACGTCATCCAGAAGAAACCAATTATATATATATATATATATATATATAAATATGTTACATCTATTACCTGGTCGATGCTTCGATGACTGCGAGATTTGCTCCTCCTCGTTGTGCAGCTTTCCTCCTCACTAGTGTCGGACAGATCTCGCGTCGAGTCCAGTGACAGCCTCCTCCTCAATTTCGTGCAACAGACACCCTGGTTCTGGTCTGAATTATTCCTGTGCGTTTGGTTGGCTTGCCTCCACTGGTTCTGGTTATTTCTCTGCATATTCCTCACGTTATTTTGAGGCGGTGGCGAAGGGCTGAGATCAACGCCTCTCACGCCCTCTACTCCACCACTTCCGTCCCTTTCCTCCGAGCTACTGCTACCTCTTCTGCCGTTCCTTCCGTGATTGGATTCCATGTGGTAAACAGGATTGGCGAAAGCAAGCGGTGCTGCATTGAGTATATGTGCGTTTGCATTGTTGCTGCTGAGATCCACGGGGCTGGAGCTTTGACTGTAAGCAGCGAAGCTCTGGTAACCCGACGAGGCAACATTGCTCAATTGGGAAATTGATATTTGGGATCCTTTCTGAGATTTTGATTCCGACACTTCGTCGTCAGCGTACCTCAACAGATCGGATAGCTCGTCCAGGTTTCCGTTGGCAGTCGTGTTGTTCGTCTTGCTATTGGTGTAATTGTTGTTTGGCTGATTAATAGACAGAGTGAGATTCGACGAGGGATTCACCACGACATTGGCATTCACGGTGGTCTTGGACACGTTATTATAATTCTGATGCTGCATCTGGTTCGCGTTCTCTTCCTTGTTGCAATGATTCCTGCTGGCTGACCTCGAGACGTTGTAATTGTTATGGTTATAGTTGTCCTCTCTGTCGTGGATATCCAGGTTCTGTAATCGCGCTATGTTGTGTCTGTGATTCTGTTGTTGCTGGCCCATAATCGTACAATTGTTCGCCTGATTGATCTGTGACGTGGTAATGTTGTAGTTGGAATCCTTTAAATTGCTGTGACTCTCCGACCTTGTAGGACTGGCTGGGTGTGTCTGGCAGTGGTTCACGTTCGCCAGACTCGCACTGGCTGTCAACCTGTATCCAGCTCCTGTTCTGCTCGACCCTATTGCCCTGTGTTGCCTCACTATGGGCGTAGGCGAGCGCGACACGAAGGCTGGTGGCTCGAGAGGATAGTCGTCCGTGGTAATTTGCAGTTGCAACTTTCCATTGGTCGGCATGTAAGCGTTGCGAGGAAGAGTGGCAGCCCTGGTTACGTTGGGGCTGCGAGAACTGTTGTGCCCAAGCGTGTTCGATTGCAACACCTCGTTGCTGTCTCTGATCGTCCCGTTCAACGTGCTGTGATTGCTCAACGTGGACGTTGCCGACACAGACAGGTTGGTGTTGCTGTTCGCAATCGTGGGGTCGTTATAGCGGAAGATGTTGTTCTGTATATTTGGATACCGATGAGAGGCGGCCACTGGACTCGGACCCGATTGATCCAGGGCTATGGAGATCCTCTCGAGGATCTCTGGTAATCTCGATGGAGGCAGTGACGAGGAGAACGAGGTTATCGTGACCAAACTTTCGCGTAGAAGCGCGTGCAGAAGAGACAATTGCTTTCCCAGATCTATGTATCCGTCGAACTCTAAAGAATTATTGGCTGGAGCATCCTTTGGCAAGGGGCTCTGTAAATGAACGTTAATTTTCATCACGATAAATCATATATATATATATATTTAAGAAAGAACACTAAGTTGTTACTTACACTGATCAGTTGAAGAAAATTTTTCATGGATGGAGCTTCACGTTCCAGAAGATCGTTCATAAATTCCATAAAGTTTTCCTTTCCTTGAAATCTCGTGAAATTTGCCAGAGTTTGAAGCGTTTTTGCCACGAGAGTGAGATTCCTTGCCGCCTTTTCGTTTGGGTATTCTAGAAAAAATGTTTTAAACAAGTTTGAGATATTTCATTTTTAAAACAGGAATAAAAGCATTGGAAAAAGTAGAATTGTGCGACTCTTCAAAAAGATTCTTTCCTTTCAACGTTTCCTTCACGATCATTCGACAACGACTGTTTTCTCTTCTCAATAATGCCGCACTTTTAAACACTTCACACGTACGAAATACATTCTTACCACCTCACTGTTTACTGTGTAGTCAAACGTACACGTATTCTCAGAATCGTCATTTGTTCGTAACCGATATTCTAGATTAAACGTTCGTTCTCTTTCGGCTTTTTTCGACAATTTTCGGCTTCGCACGCCTATACTCTATATCCTATATCCTATACAAAACAATATATACATTACCACGTATGTGAATATGAATCGACGAGGATAAACACAGAATTTATTTAATTTACAAAATTTATCAAGGAATATATTAACAAATTCTTATATTAGTTATATTATTTCTATTAATTCTATTATATTTTCTATATTAACTATATTAACTATAATATTATATTAATTCTATTAATTAATTAGTTTCTATTAATTCACTAAATTTCACTTAAAAATTTCTCAAAAATTTCTCTTCAAATTTGGTAGACAGACGGAGGATATAGACAAGATATTTCGTTTTCTTACCGTGGGTAATGTTGAAGAGGGACGGGCTCAGAATGGCAGGGCACAGGAATCTGAGGAATATAGAGGCAGAGATCAGATTGTCGGCAATGTCCTCGCGGCCCATGTCAGCGAGGCGCTCGCGGAATATACGGAAGCATTCGCGTAATTCGAGAGGGAAGTGAGCGTGGCTGGCTAGTATCCTGCTCCAGGCGAGTTCCACGGCGTTTCGTAGATTCTGTTGCTGTTTGTGAAGGGCCGCCACCGAGGCGACCTTCAGCGGATCCACCTCGCAGTCGCCACCCTCCACCGCTCCCCTTACAACAGCCCCCAAGGTCTCTTGCAAGTACCTGTCTCCCGTCAACTTCAAGTAGGCCTCCATCGCCTTCGTGGCCAAGGAATTTCCTCGAAAGGTGAGCCTCTCGTCGTCTGAAATTCAATAGTTTCCTTTAATAAATTCCAATATTTGCTGGATCGACCAATTTTTAAATCTAAGCTACTTTAAAAAAAATCTGATTTTAATGAAAATTTGTACATAATTCCTAAATTCTAAATTCGATATAATACATTATAAATAATAAAAAATTCTGATATCTTATTCACAAAAATATGTTTGTTTTACATCTCGATCGTAATTGTTTTATTTTTAATTTGTTTTATTAAACTGTTATAAATTATGTATATGTACAAAAAGAAGCTTTACATCGCATAAAAGAATCAATAAATCCTTCTTCCTTCGCTATATATATGGAATATCATCATGATTCACCTATTCTGTGTATATCCATCATGACCAAGTCGGCGAGAAATTGAGGCGCTTTCTTTTCGCGCTGCATGACGGCGACCAAAGCCGTGGCGATGTCCTCCTTAGCTTTGACACCGATCACCGGCTCTAATTTCTCGCACAGCGACGCGTAATCCGTCTTCAAATATTCCAAGAACTCCTGGTACACTTGAACCGGCAATATGTCCACGGATTGAAAACGACACTTCACCCTTAGTGCCGGGGGTTCCTTCAGGGGACCTTTATCCCCCACCACGGTGTACCATTTCTCCGTCAGGTAACGAGACGTGACGTTGTGCACCGGTATGCTGACGGAACCTGGACGAGATATATTAATTATATTAATATTAAACGAAATTTCATTTCGAATGAAACTCTATTTAAAGATTCGGCTTCGCGATTTTTTAAAAATTTCGTTATCAACCCTCTGCACTCCAGGTCTCATAAGATAAGATTATACGTAAAGAGCTTGTTATACAGGAAGCTATTCATGATATTCTAAAAAAATCAAACATAAAAGAAATATAATATATAAATAAATATTGTCAATAATCTCGGTCACCGTTGGAGAGCAAAGGGTTAATAATTTAATTCTCGTGAAAATGTAGATCGATAATTAATTTCCTTTATTTTTTTTTTTTTTTGCACTCCAACCCTTTGCACTCCAGGTCTCATAAGATAAGATTATACGTAAAGAGCTTGTTATACAGGAAGCTATTCATGATATTCTAAAAAAATCAAACGTAAAAGAAATATAATATATAAAAAATATAATATAAATAAATATTGTTAACAATCTTGGTCACCGTTGGAGAGCAAAGGGTTAATAATTTAATTCTCGTGAAAATATAAGTCGATAATTAATTTCCTTTATTTATTTTTTTTTTTTTCTATTTATTTCGTACACAGGAAAATATATATATGAGCTCACCGATCAAAACATTCTTGTCCCTCTTCTTCTTCCTGTCAGCCTCCCTGTACAGGTTCACCTGTATGGTGTTGACGGAAGGCAAGTGATGGAAATCGAAGTGCTCGCCCCAGAAGCACAGGTCGGCCTTCAGTTTCGCCGTGGTCCTCGCGTACAGAGTGCTGTCCAGGCACACCTCGCAGAAATATCGTTTCTTGGCCGGCACACCCTTCGCCTCGAGCAGCCATATTTGCAACGAATTGTCCGTGCGCCTCGTTTGCTCCGCGTCAGGTTGAACGGATTTCCTCAAGCTGCGTTTCGAACAACAACCATGTAAACGATTCCCACCGATTATAATCCGACCAAGTGGAACACGTTGAATAATCTCAGACTCCCCTCCCCCCCCCAGGGGAAAAATCAGTGGGAAGAATTTCAAGGTGAAAATTTCGCTATTCATTTTTTATTTATAGAATTGAAATGGAATGAAAAATTTTATTATAAAGTAACGACAATTATTTATTTACGAAAACGATCTTGATAATTTTTCGATATATTGTCAAAATCGTAAGATTTTAGTTGGAGATAGATTAGTCCAGAATCAAATTTTAATCATTATTAAAAAATCAGAGGGAAGAATTTCAAGGTGAAAATTTCACTCTATTTTTTATTTATAAAATTGAAATGGAATGAAAAATTCCATTATAAAGTAACTATAATTATTTATTTATGAAAATAGTTATCCAATTTTGATAATTTTTCGATATATTGTCAAAATCGTTGTTATAATCGTAAGATTTTATTCGGAGATAGATTAGATTAGAATCAAATTTTAATCATCATTAAAAAATCAGAGGGAAGAATTTCAAGGTGAAAATTTTGCTATCCATTTCTTATTTATAAAATTGAAATGGAATAAAAAATTCCATTATAAAGTAATGACAATTATTTATTTACGAAAACATCCGATTTTGATAATTTTTCGATATATTGTCAAAATCGTTGTTATAATCGTAAGATTTTATTTGGAGATAGATTAGATTAGCCCAGAATCAAATTTTAATCATCATTAAAAAATCAGAGGGAAGAATTTCAAGGTGAAAATTTCACTCTATTTTTTATTTATAAAATTGAAATGGAATGAAAAATTTATATATATTATATTATAAAATAACGACAATTATTTATTTACGAAAACACCCGATCTTGATAATTTTTCGATATATTGTCAAAATCGTAAGATTTTAGTTGGAGATAGATTAGATTAGAATCAAATTTTAATCATCATTAAAAAATCAGAGGGAAGAATTTCAAGGGGAAAATTTCACTCTATTTTTTATTTATAAAATTGAAATGGAATGAAAAATTTATATATATTATATTATAAAATAACGACAATTATTTATTTACGAAAACACCCGATCTTGATAATTTTTCGATATATGGTCAAAATCGTTGTTATAATCGTAAGATTTTATTTGGAGATAGATTAGATTAGCCCAGAATCAAATTTTAATCATTATTAAAAAATCAGAGAGAAGAATTTCAAGGTGAAAATTTCACTCTATTCTTTATTTATAAAATTGAAATGGAATGAAAAATTTTATTATAAAG